GTTTTGCCATTGCATGCATTTTATAGATGCTTAAACACGGACTGTTCTGAGACACGGTGGTTCAATACAACCTCTCTGCAGATGTCTGCAAACCTAGCAACAGGATGTTTGACACACAGATGTGACAGCTCGGAACGTCTCACTGCTGTCTGCTCTGTCCCCTTGAGCTACTTCCCAGGTCCCCCCACTCATGCTTACCTGGGATTGGACTCCTCTGTCAAACATTAGCCCCGCAAGCTTTTTCCTCAAGTCTGATTTTGAGAAAATCTGGGCTAACATGGACTTTCAAAAAAAAATTTTTTTTTGGTAGAAGAAAATATTTAAGCACATATGCATAGGAAAAAATTTTAGATTTATGTATGCAAAATGTTAACTGGCTTGTCTCTCTTCGTGCTTCTCTATATTTTCTATTTAAAAAAATTTTAATCAGTAAAAAGCTCATTTTATTAAACTATTTAAACATACACATTTCTTTCTTCTAAAATTAACAGACAAGATATAGAGACACAAGCTGAAAAGTCATAGTAAAAATGAAAAGAATTATTTTTAATAGGTATTCCGTTACTGTGAATTCAGGTGTAGCTTCAGGTGTTTTCATAACCCACTATTGTACGCTCTTCTCATTTCAGTCTTATTTTACTTAGGATTAAATAAATAATGTTGATTTTCATATGTTAGAACAATAATCAAGTAGAATACACAGGCATGCAGTAAATATGTTGGGCATGTTAAATACACTCTGGTTATTCTATAGCTTCCTTAGGTTTAAAGGACAATCAAATTACTTACCATGCCCTGGAATTTTAAAAACTTGTCTGACAATGCTTCATTCTGAGACTCATTCCAAAATGAAATCCATCCAGACAGCCTTGCAAAGTCTCTTTAGACAAAAGTCAAATGTGTGGTCAACACAGTATAGAGAATCCTAAAGCCAACAGCATCACATGTTACTGTTTATTCTCCAGGGACCGATATTAAGGTTACCAAAACAAAAGCTGTCTTGGATTTTGTATGCTTTTGCCAGAAAAGATGATAAATGTGACTTTTACTTCTTCGTGAGTGGTATCATTCGCAGTGAGAATTAGACTTGCAGGGCGGGAAGGGGCTCTGGGCAATCACCTCCTTCAAACAGCCCATTTTGTAGATGAGGAAACTGAGACCCAGAGACAATGAATGTCCTCCAGGTGAACTATGTTCTGACTGGATAGCCATGTTCAACTAAGTCAGCTGTTCACACAGGGCATCCATTTGATAAGTGAGAACCTCACTAGAGAAGACCTGAACTATTTTGGGGGGGAATTACATCCATTACTCTAAAATTTTCCGGGATGGTATTTTCACTTTTGCTCTTCTAAGTTGTGTTGGGGTAGAGTAAGACGGGTCAATGCCTAGTTAGGTAGTTATTTCTATGCCTGCAGTTACATAATCATGGTTTTATGTGTGCTCCCTCCAGCTCTGCCCTGTAGTACTTGAAAACAAGGAACCACATCCCATGCACAGTTAGTATGTCTCTGCACAAGGCTAAGTCCAGAGTCTTCTCATGGTTCTCAGTCTGAGCTGCAGAGCCTGACAAAGTGGGTTTAAATTCTGGTCCTGCCATTGACCAGTTATTGATCTTGGGCAAGTGAGTTGATTTTGTATAAGTAACTTGACCTCGATCTTCCTTTTCTTATCTGCAAAATGGAAATAATTTTAATATCCATCCTGCATGTAAAGTGCCTAATACAGTGACTTTACCATAGTAGACATTCGATAAATGTTGGCTATTGACAAGTGCTCAAAAAGTATTTATTGGAAAAAATGTATTAAGGGGAAAGAGATAATTGCCACAGAGAAAGCTGTTGATTCTTCCTCAGCCCATACCAGCTCCTGCTGTTCCTCACGTTTCAGGTACTGCAGCATAATTTCTCATGCTCATGGAAGGAAAGGGCTAACTTTTTTCTTTGACAGCAGAACCCTACTGTTATAAGAATTTACATATAGAAGGCATGGTCTGCTCCAAATTAGGGTAAAATTTAGCTGCTTTATTTTTTCCCCCCTATTCGAAAGCTAGAACACTCAAGTGCCGTAAAAAGAACATTCAAAAAGTCTCCACCTTTATCCAAATCCTTTGGAGGAAAGGGGCCTCCCATTGTTTACCCCTCCTGCTGTTCCTCCAGCCCACGTACTGGCCCCTCAGCTGGGATAGA